AGCGATCAGCCCGGCTGAGGGGAAGACAGCGCTGGTTAGACAGCAGTCACATCCAGGGGCTGGGGGGTGGGGGAGATTACTCTGAGAGGAGAGAGAAATGGCACCAGACAAAGGAAGAAGTATGGTGGTATACATATCTGAGATTGTTATTGATCTTTCATCTAACTCTCAGCAGCAAAGCCAGAAAATCTTCCAAAATGTCAAGTTACAGAGTGAGGGAGGAGTTGCTGCTCCAGAGGCTGTACTTTTTTGTACTGATGATTTTGTGTCAATCCAAACAGTCGAAGTGCTCCAGCTTTGACGTGGTCTATGAGTCTGTGGGGGCCCCAAAATGGCTTCTCTCACAACATAACTGTATTGCTTTAACCAGGGGTCGGCAACCTTTACTATCAAAGGAGCCATAAAAGAGGGGGAAAAATCTGTCTGGAGCTGCAACACATATTTGAGCCTCATGATCAAGGTAACACAGCCTTTTAAGTCAAATTCAGCCTCTCAACATCACTAATAGATCTAAATGAGCATTCACTGATATGTTTTAGCACAAGGTGGCTCCTCTGCAGTGAGGTATTTTTGATTATTCGGTACTTTAACTTTGTAGCACTGCTGATGAAAGCAAATAAATTTGTTCACGCACTATTAAATTCTCTATTTCTACCACTCAAGGATCAGTCAATGAATTCCATAAAGTACGGCAACCATTCCTGGACAATTATAATAATGTCTACATTTCAAGTAATGTGATTTAATGGCTATGTGTGCTTATAATAGTACCGAAATGTAATATTGCCTTTTTTTTAATCAGTCTATCTTAGGTCTGTATATTTTGTATATTTATCATGTGTAATTACTGGTGCTTATTTGTTTGTCTGTGCTGGCCAGCCTCAGGATGGGACGGGGTGGATCTGGGTGCTGTGGTTTTATGTTGTAAGGTTGTTTTGATGTCTTGGTTGTTTCATAACACCAATCAAAATAATTCAATAATAATAATAAATTCTCTATGCTCCCCCTTATACTTTTCCCGTTTTGGATTTGGAATCCACAGCTAGCCTAACTAGGATGATTGAAAATACTGTAGCAATCACTAGTGATGTTTTAGAGGAAAAAGTGCCAGGCCAGACATATGACACACATTTTAGCTGACAAAATGTTAAAATATTTTTTAAATCAGTGTACAGGCTACGCATTTTTGCAGTTGAAGAATGTAAGACTCACGTTAGGCCCACAACAATAACTGAAAATTTAAATGTAAAAAGAAATTGTTATTCATTTCCTTAGAATTGTCTATCAAAGCCACAGGAAGCCACTGGAGAGGGCTCTGGAGCCATAGACTGCCTACCCCTGCTTTAAACCAATCAGCTTTGAAAGGGGAACACCACCTAAATTCAGAATTCCAATATGTTATTTCCACAGGTGAGGAAAGTTCTATCAATATTTGTGGATGTGAGCTGCTCTCTCTCTCAAAGCTAAAAACCAGAGAAGTCAGTCACAGACTTGCGATGTTGTAAAGAGGGAGCCTGATTTTGTTGACCCACAAAATGTTTGTTTTCTTTTTTATACCCTAATGAACCTGTGTGCTCTCAGTGTCATCTAGAATAGTGGTTTACAGCTGGTCCAGACATAGGGTGCAGATTTCTCCTTAGTCACTAGTTCAAGGTCCACACAGTTTAATATATTAGGCGTCATTCTTGCGTTTGTTGACCTAGTTTGCTGTCTCTGTCAAGTAGCTGTCCATTAGTCACTCACTCTACAGCAGGAAACGGCGCTGTAATCTAAAATAAATTGTGTTTTTTACAAACTTGACATGTTCCTGAGTCACTTGCGTCTCGTGACCCAGTTTTGGAACATGACCCACCATTTTGGAACCACTGATGTAGAGCACCTTTCCCAATTTATTGTCGATGGAGCAGCTCCAGACTTTATACTTGATAACATCACAAATTTGAGTTTCTGTTTTTGGATTTGGGGGAGAATTTTTCATGTTTACTACTATTTTTGGAGCTTCTTAGACCAGTGGTTTTCAAACCTTTTGTATCCAAAGCACACCAAAGGGCGAGCCAAATTCTCAAGGTGGTAGGTCGTCTTCATTGGTGCTTTGTTGCAGTTTGCTCCGTACAATAAAGTGACCCATCGTCCCATTCATGCCTTTCTCCTTTTAAATGTTATCATCCCTCACACTGGCTGCCAATCGGGGCTTTTGATGTGTTACACACTAATAATTTCCATGCGTGAATGGCGACAAATAGGTCCCCTGTGAAGGTTTTTTAAATTAAATTCAGTTAAATTAATTTTTTTTTGCTAGAGTTTGCCTCTTTATTAGGAAATGGGCGTGCACAACATACTGATGCAGTCAATTAAAAATTCATTCATAACTTTTTGTATAGGCCCAGTTGAATATTGAAATAATAATGTGTGGTTATCACAAAATCACACACCATCTGAGAACCACTGCCTCAGAACATAAGGATAACATGTATGAAATTTGAAAATGGGCGTAGTTCTTTTACCTTCAGCTGTGTTCTAAAGACATTCAGGAAGCTGTTGAACCTGTTTCAGTACAGTCAATGGAAACAAACCTATGCTTTACCTATTTTAACTCTTGTTTCACAGGTTTGTCCTGAATTCACTCCGAAGCTAGATGGAAAAAAAAAAAGAAAAGTAAGACGAGTCAGATCAATAACAAGACAGCAGCTGAGATCCCGGGAGGCAGAAATAAAAAGAAAACGAAGGCAGGTCATAAAAGACAGGAGAGAAAACACAAGAGAAATAAAAAGTAGTTGTAGAAAAACTAAAAAAAACACCACATACAAAAACATGAACAGGAGTAATATTATATTACTTTATTTATCTTTTGTACAATGTAATTACAATACAAATATGTAGGTTTAAATACAAAAATTCTGTAAATAAAGATTAAAAATAAATTCCACTGGTTTGCTTTGTTACCATCACTAAACTATGGTTTTACAATCAAGTTTATGAGGTCATTTAGTTTGCTTTAACGCGGAAATACAATTAACCTACATTTATAATTTTGGAGGGCGTGCAAACAAGAGTCAAGGGCTAAAATATATTTTCAATGAAATAAAAGCACTGATTTTTATGTGTGAACCAGTCTGGTCTTGTAGAGAGAGGAGGGCAAAGAGAGAGCAATTTGGATTTGTTTTTGGTGGGGAAGAAATATCGATTCGTCTGAAAAACAAAAGACAATAACGAGGGGAGGACCCGAGATGGTATAAATTAGGCCGGTGGAACATAAATTTAAGATCTCTGAGAAGGCAGCCTATCAGGCGGGATGGCTGCCACAGGAAGAGACCTAATGAGCTAATTAAACTGTAGGGAGTTAATGAGCAGGAAACCTAATCAGTGGCAGTCCAAATCCATACAATTAAATTCCCAAGGAACATAACAGGAGTGTCTCTGGTCAGATTACAGTTTTTATATAACATACAGAAACCACCTGTTCGCTAGGCCTATATGTCACATGGAAAAGCCCTTCGATAAAGAACGTCTCTGCTCGCTAATGCTGCATCTTCTTCAAGCTTTTATGACGCAAACTGCAAGTTAACACACAGAAAGTTGTCTTGACATTGCTGAAGCTTTGACTATATAGGGAGTTGCACATCATTTTGAGACTTCAATAATATAGTAAGCAACATCTTTTAAAAAATATGATCAAAAGTGTTGTTTGTGAGGCATTAGGAGCTGAGGAACATGACGCTGAAATGGAAGTGGCTTGACCTCGGGATAAAAAAAGATGTAAAAACGGCAGGCAGTCCTCGGGTTGTGGGATTCATGATGAATGTGTCTTTGTTCTCGATATTTTCACACACTCTGTCTCCTCCTCTTATCTCTTTTTTTTAATATCTAATCTTATTTTCCTTTCTTCAGACTTCCTCCGTCTCATTTTTTTAAAGGTATGACTCCATTCTCTCCTTCAGTCTCTCACATACATGTTATCCTTCCTTCTTTCCTCTGGCAATCTATCTGCTGCTCTATATTTCCTCTCCCTGTAAATCTGTCAATCAAGTGTTCTTAATAGTTCTGCATCCAAAGTATATCCTTTATTTCTCTCGGTTCGTTCATTTGCCACGCCTCGGTTTACATCTGCTCATGTTCCTCTCCTCTTTTCACCTCTTATCATTAATCCCAAAATCTGAAATGAGTGTAGCACTACTGACGCAGTAGCACAATAGAGGTGAATACACAGTCATACTGTACGAGATGAGACTATACCCTGTGTTTGAACACATAAAAGGATTATGAGTGCTGGAATGTAGTGCATCATCTTTTTTTTTTAGTTGCACAGTGTTGAGTGTTTTTTGTTTCCACTGAGTTGTTAAAGTTCCTTGGGTTTGTCTGGGGAAGATGAAGTCCTTGCTGTGCTGTATTATCCAGAGTGTCTGTGTGCTGGATATCCTGAAGTGATTTCTCGTATCCTGGTAACATTTGAAAATAGACTTTAGCAACAGAAATGGGCTACAGAGCCGAAGTGAAGCCGTATCGACTCAACTGGCCTCACCAGCAGTGGAGCGTATATACGTGAGGACTAACAGGTGGAAGAAACATGCCGCTATATACACTTACTGTCTCACATGTTGCACAACACACTGCTTTACTGTCAGCCCAGGCTATATCCTGCTACACAACTCGGTTTCCCACATCACTTTCCCCTCTACTGCTGACATTACCTATCTGCTACCTGTAGTTTCCCTCCTCTTTACGGTTCAACAAAAATAAATATAGGGGATGAAAACAACACGCTCCTGAAACACTGCTTTAGAAATTTGATTTTTACGTATATATAACTTGTTAAAATAAAAATGCAGTACAATAAATAAAATAATTTGGCCATAAATCTCTACTATTAGTCAGTAAGTCCTTTTGGGTTGGTAGGGTCGGGTCTTTCATCATTGGCTAGTCCTTTCAGGTATCCAAACTTTCGCTGTGCTTGGCTAAGATCAGCATCAGTCTGATCATCAGTCCACAAATTGCTCCTCTGCTTCTCTGCACGTCTTGTGATGTTGCCATATCTGCTATATTCTCCACCAAAATCCTCCACCAGGGAAAAAAACAAAAACATCTCATGGGTTTGGAATGCATCTGAGTGGAGTCCCCTTTTAAAGAAAGAAACCACTGGGCTGTGCCCCCCCTACAATGTCCTCAGGGGGACACATACAGTACATCCAGGGACTTGCACCAAGTAAAGAAAAGCAAGAGTGGAGAAGTGAAAGCAGGGAAGAAAGGTGGGTAGCGGGTGGAGTGGAAGGATTCAGTCCAACAAGTCTAGTGAGCTAGAGACCTGATCATTCGATGGCAGCCCAGCAACTTGTAAGCTTCCTCCAAAGCTCTCATTGGAGTGTGAAGAAAGCAATTAAGATCATTATAACATCAACTCATATGAGAGCTTTTAGCAAGTTGCTAGGCTGCCACAGGTCAGATGCTAGGCTAACTTTGAGGACCTGCATCCTGTCCTAAGCCCACATTTCTCACTTGAACTTCAGGGCTAGAGCTACAGCTTTGGGAGGCCAACTCAGGCTTAAAGCTCAATCTCAAAAGTCTTTTGAAGATTGTTGGAAAACGGGTTGGCTGCTGCAGCTGGTGTCTTATTTCCAGGCTGCTGAGGCGATGGTTTGGCCTCCAGTGCTGCCCACTTAGCTTCAAAACGATCATCGTCTTGGGAGTCGCTGGCTGCCGGAGCTGTTAGCTGGCTGCCCTCTGGCGGCCAGCTGCTACTGCTGCCACCATTCCCACCACTGCTGGAGGTCCCATTCTGGAGGGCCATCGTGGCGCTGCTGTGCGGTGGGAGGCCGTTAATGGCTGTCGATAATGGCGGAGTGGGAGAGAATGGCGGTGTGGAAAACCCTCCAGTGTGCCCGACTGCACTGGGTACGCCTGGGTAAGAATGGTGCTGCCCAGCTGTTCCAAGTGGCCCCACTTTTGGTCCCCCTACGGCCGTGCCCATGGCTCCACCTGCACCAGATGAGCCTGTAGCAGTGCAGAAGACGTTAGCCACCATTTGCGATGGTGTGATGCCTACCACAGGCACACTGGCATTGGGATATGTCATACTGCTGGCCAGGCCTGGCATGTAGGTCTGCATGGGCACAAATGCTGGTTGGACAGGCTGGCTGGCGAACATTCCCACAGGAGCTGGGGTGGTATCAAAAGCCAAGGGAAAGGGTTGCATGGAGCTTGGAAGTGAGCATGGGGGCCCAGGGAGGGAGGGCTGGATCATTGGGGCCCCAGACATGCTCGGACCGGACATCGTGGGAATGGACATGGAGGGTAGAGACATCGGGGGGCCTGACACTGGAGGACCTGGTATTAGAGGAACTGATGATATTGACATGGGCGGGAGGGGCATCGGCGCCTGACCTGAGAGAGCAGAGGGGCCCGAGAGGAGAGGTTTGGACATGGTGCCAAGGGACATTGGGACAGTGGACACTGGGGCAGCTGATATGACTGCCTGACTGGACATCTGCTGACTCGACATAGAGGGTGGTCCAGGGATAGTGGGGATGGTGGGGCCTGGTGGAGGGGTCTGCTGAGCCTTTACAGCCTTGGAGACTTCCTCCAGCCATCTCTCAGCCTCGGAGGGTGTGCGCCTGTGTCCGCTCTGCATCTGCATTTGCATCGCCACAGAAACCGGAGGAGGAGAGTGGAGTGGAGGCTCTGGCTGCACCCAGGAAGAAGTACCTGGAGGGATAAAGTTAAAGATTTAGAAGAATAATTTCCCCAACACTGAGTGCTCACTATTAAAAAAAATAAAATGCTCAGTTGCAGTTCTTCTTACCCTGAATTGGTCCAGGTGGTGGAGGCAGGGCTGGGGGCACAGTGCAGGTTGGAGGGCCATTCGCAGGCAAAGACGGGTTTGAGAAGAGCTCAGCCGATGGATTGGTGAAGGAAGTGTTGATCTGGCTACACAGGGCGTTAATACTACAGTCTCCCTCCCCTGGCAACCCCATATCCATCTCTGGTACTAGCAAGAAAGGGACACACAGTGGGGAGGGGAGGAGAGGAGGTGGGAAAGAGATGGTGGAGATAAGGAAAGTTGTGAAAGAAAAGAGGTGGAATGGGAGAAGATGAGGATGAAGGAGAGGGACAAACAAACAAAAAGACAGAGAAAAAATATTCATTTATTTGTGCAACACATCCTGATAGCATCAAAAGCAATGAAACCTGAGCGAATGAAGTCTCGCTGCTATTGACCTAGAAAGCATCAAAAACGCAAGATTCTTAAGACAAACATGGCATTGTGCTCATCAGGACCTCCTTACTAAAAATAAAAAGGTTCACAGATAGTCACAAGAATATATTCAGGTCAAGCCAAACTGTGTAAACAACTCTATCTCATGCAGCATTATCCTTTATGTACATTGCAGCCTGCCAGCCATGTCATTACCTTGTATATCTGGTGCATTGGTATGACTCAGACAGAGGTGAATTTGGCTTAGCTTATCTATGTTTTTAAACCAACTGTAACTGATCTGACCAGTGAGGGATTAGAAGGCATAATGTTCCTGTCTGACTTTGGTTTGGACTACAGCTTTAAACCTCTCCTGCACAGGCCGCAGATATAAATAGATATAATATCTAATTCCCTGTTCCTATCCTCTGGTCAGAGACAGGAGAGGAATGTTGTTTCTTCCTCTATTACCCTCTTCTTTCTTCCACTAGCTTATCAGCCAAGTGGCCTGAAGAAACTGTTAGCATTGTGTGTTTCTGCAAACCACAGATATGTAACATTTGTACATTTCATTCACAGGATATCAAAATTTCTACAGTGACATAGTTCAGATTATATGAGCTGACTTTGTCATCAGGAGGTGGAGGGGATGGTGGATGGCGATACGGCCGCCTTTGTTTCCACCACTGTTTGAGGCCAACAAACAACAAAACTGAGTGTTTTTTGGGGAGACACCGGGCATGTCCAGCTGTGATTTTGGCACCCAAACCAGGTGTCTTTTTTGCAAGACAATGGGGCATTTCTAGCCGTGACTGTAGCACCATAACTGGGTGTTTGTTAGGGAGACATAGGGCCATTTCCAGATGCAATTGTGGTGCTACAACTGGGTGTTTTTTAGCGAGACATCAGAGCATTTACAGCCCTGATTGTAGCAGCCAAACCAGGTGTTTTTTAGCAAGACATCAGGGCATTTCCAGCTGCAACCTTGGTGCCCAAACCAGGTGTTTGTTAGTGAGACATCAGAGCATTTCCAGCCGCAATAGTGGTGCCCAAGTTTTTTAGTGAGACGTCAAGGCATATCCAGCTGTGACTGTGGCGCCAAAACTGGGTGTTTGTTCGTGAGACATCAGGGCATTTCCAGCTGCCTTTGTGGCACAAAGACGGGTATTTTAAGCCAAAAATATGATCTTTTCCTAACCCTAATCAAGTGGTTTTGGCACCTGAATCAGCCACACTTTAACTACAGCCTTATCACATCATAAAATTAAAAATCAAAAGGTAAGTAAGTGGAGTTTCAACATATGAAACTCAGTCTTCCTGTTTTTGCTGCCCCCATCATCCCCATGCCCAGCTGTCCAAAACACTTGACAAAGAGGAGTCTGATGATGACACTTTTGACATTGTGGTTAAGTTTTATAACGCGCACATGCAGAGGGATGAATGTATAGATGAGTGGCATTTAAGTGAATAAACACGTTGAGCACAGATGTGCTCATTGTGGGTCAAACCCAAACCTTCACAAGCCCACTCTTCTTATACATGTATACTTTTCTCATTTGTGTGTATTGTGTGGCTACAGGCCTTGAATTATATAGGAGGGCGCTGGAGGCATGTGTAAGGTCTCCCCTTAAAGACTTCTCTGTGCTTTGTTCTACAAAGACCAACCCTGGCACCCTTTTCTATCCCCGCTCTACCAGTCAATGTCCCACAGAGTTCAGAAGCACTCTAAGCACCTCACGTGTGTTTCTATCTGTATGTGAGTGTGTGTTTCTGCAGTGGCAGGTTAAGGGCTGGAAGAGGGCTTGCTAACGGCTAACCCGGACAGCTGATTGACCACACAAATCAATACAGACATTGTTCAGAGAGTCACAAGGGAGCAGGGAGACAGCGTGGATCCATGTGTGTGTGTGATGGAGTGAGGTAGGATGCAAACTGCATCAAGTTCACCACCAATGGATGTATACATTAACTAACATGGGGGAATAAGGAACGGAAATGGAAGGAGTGTATATATGAGTGAGAGTGGGAGTTGAATGTTGTGGTTTAGTATTCCAGTCGGAGGAGTCCTCCAGTCAACCCTCTCATCTCCTCTAATGACTATAATCAGCCTCGCCACCGAGCGCTGTGATCCTGTGGCACCATGGTGAGTGGGTGTGTCTTTGTGTGTGTGTATACCTGTGAGGGGTAAGTCAGTTATTATTAATTGTCCTTAGTAAAAAGCACAGAGCTTTCAGAGTCACACAGGCCCAGCCATCAGCGCTGACGCTAATAGCAATAATAACAGCACTTTGCACAACTGCTTCTTATCTTGGCCCGCACACAATAGAAGGCGAGTGTCGGGATTAAAGTGAAGAATTACACATTGTATGAGGACATGAATAAGAATGCATCTGACATGTGCTGAAGGTTTATTCTGTAATAAAGACCTCAGATCTCTTCAGACGGGGGTCTTTGATGCCAGACTGAAGCCAAATGGAAAATGTTATGATGCTCCGATCTGCAAACAACCATGACGCAAGTGGAACACAAAGTCCCACATGTGTACTCTCTGTATTGGAGACAGCAGTAATGTTCTTTGACTTCTTTGAAATACAAAATAACAAATCATGTTGTTTTTCTGCACTTGCAAGGGAGAGGTCCCATCTGATTTCACTGTGGGTACTGGAGAGGCATTTTGATACCAAATGTAAATTAAAAGTGGATGAATCACCTCCAGAAACAAGCCCAATGTTAATGAATGTTAACTGATGTCATGGCCTTAAATTAGCCTTTTGCATCTGCCAGCTAATATCATCAGCCTCTCATAAGATTTCTGTTTCCCTCTTATTACAGCTAGCACATATGCTTTTATTCATTCTTTTTTTTGCATCAAATATCTGACTAGAGAAATTATTTCAGTGTGATTTTGTTCAACAGCTTGAATGATGTCCATTTGGTAAACTGTCTGTGAAATCAGCGTCCTGCTGCTAACCCAGCATCATCCCATAATGGTCTAAATGTTGTTCAATTGCAGTTACACTTCAAATAAACTGAATGACTAGTGTCAAATGGGATAAAATGATTCAATGGTGCAGTTCTTCTAGACTTTCCAAATGTTATCGGACCGAATGGGTTAAATCCTTATAGTGAAACAAGTCATTTTCACCATGTAAGTCAAAAGGAAAAAGTCTTTTTGGACCACAGCGCATCACTTCAACGTGTAATTATGCTGTTTGGCCTCAACGAAAAACTGACTTCAAAGCCCAGCGCACTTCCTGTGGGATGCAATGGGGTGGTGAAATGTGATGTTAATATAAGGCTCAAAAACACAGATAGTCTTTTGACAAAATTACAAACTTTAGATGATGTTGAGTTGAGGTGCTTTGTTGCAAGTAGTCTAACAATAGCAGACACACAGAATCCCATGATAACTACATCAACTGGCACTTGAGCAACACTTCAACGGCAACCCTACAGTATCAGTGTGAACACGGTATAGCTAACAGATGTTTCTACAAAAGGATCACAGCAGGAAAAGGTCGGGGTCTCCCAACTCACCAGGGTTCTTGTCTTGGAAGTCGGTCTTGCGTTGCAGTGTGGATGGCAGGTCGTTGAGGCGGAGCGACAGCTGCCTCTTGAAGGGAGAGTTCTTCTGGCTGAGGGCTGGGAATCCCCGGAACGAGCCCTGACGCACCAGCTGCTCGATGGGCGCGTGGCGACGGGGGATGGCGTGAGGCCCGCCAGGCTCTGGTCGCTCCATGGGGGACGCCGCACCCTCGGGTGGGGAGGCGGTGCCAGGTGGGAGAGCTGGGATGGCAGAAGGTTGGTCTAGAAGAGGAAATGGTTGCACGGTCATTTCAGTTCAAACCCTATTACAGCCATACATACTGTAATCTACTGGTGATCTACTAAACGTCTTGAGGCTATGATCCTCTGAGAGTTTGCTCAGTATATGCTTGAATTTAACATTTTAAGGGTCAACTTATATTTCCCATTGTATGAGCTGTACTTGAAAGTAGGCACAGGACTACATGACCATTTCATGTCATGATTGTCCTGGCCAAGACAATTGCAATACATGATAGTATCCCATTTTACCTTACATTTTGTTAAGAAACAAATATTTTTGTTGCATGACAGATAGATCACACATCATGGAAATTTACCACTATCAACTAATCATGAGCGTTTTTTAATCACAATCCGTGGTAGAACCGTATGTCGTCCCATCCCTACTTGAAAAACACGTGTGAGTATGTGTGCACACTCTGAAATGTCCCCCTACCTTTCTTCTTGTCCTGCAGCTTGTCATCTCTCTCGCTGCTGCTGCTCTGCTGGCAAGAAGGGTTGGACCGGAAGGAGCCCTCACGCACAAACGAGGTGCGACTGGCGTCAAAAGAAGCCGTCACGCCGCACTCCTTCTCCCTGCGCTGCTTCCTCTCCAGACAGGCGGCGAAGGCACAGCCAACTGCATGGCTTAGTCTCTCCCCCTGATGGAGCAAAAACACAGAGTTTAAAGGTCATAAATCTACAGGTAACCTGGACTGATCAATTTCAACAAAAACAGAATTAGGACACTTCAAATGTCTCCACTGTCAGCGATCTTGACTATTTGCATCAGGCGTGAGTTTTGTTCAGGTCAACCTTCAAATCAAGTTCAGGCATTCACATAACATACAGCTGTTGCAGTGAACATCGGATTAGGGTGCAATTATCAACCTCAAATCTCCTCTGCTGTCCAACGTCAACATGAGTTCATGTTCTGTGGCACTGAATGCAACTAACTCCAGCCTGCCTTTTGCAATTTATTCCCACTTTCCCACCACCTCTCTAACACCCTCCCTCCTATTCTGACTGCGTCTGTCTTTATAGACAGCCGTGACTGCTATGGGAGAGACAGTTCCGTTTAAGATGAGCAGATAGAAATATGGAGAGTGTGGTGGAAATAGAGACAGACAGAGATGGACAGATAACTCCACAGGCTTCTGTCTAATCCCCTCTCCTAATCCCGCAGGTCTGTGCTGCGCTCTCTTCCGTCCACATGAATAATCCAACTCGCAGTCTAAGCTGATGAAACAGCCACGGGGTTGAAACCGCAACACACTGTGACAGCATTGTTTCTATTGCAGTTGTCTTTCAATTACAACCTCCTCAGCCCAAGGTTGGTAAAACAAAAACACTAGAGGTTAGAAATCACTCTAACTCCAGGAGTTGAACACAACTGTGTCACAGAGATTGTTGCCACGGATGTGTCTAAATTATACATGCGCTGCAGACCGTAATAACATGAAAATGAAGACGTAGACTGCATAAAATAATGGATGCAGCTGCTTTGCAATCACCCATTGGTTTGTTGACTCCCATTCTGAAGCCTCGAGTTTGGCATTTCATCTATCGCCATGGTTTCTTGGAGCCAGAAGTGACCGTATTTGGACAAGAGGGTGGAGCTGTATCGATACCTCACAGACAGCTTGTGACCTAAGCAGCCCTGTCCTTAATTATGCATAACTTTAAGCCTTAATAAAACATAAACAAGTCAATTATATAGAAATTCATCCCCTGTACAGTTGTCATGAATGTTGAAATTAGCTATAGAGACCAAAACTGTTTTTTCTGCCTGGCTGTAAACATGTTTATTTCTGCTGTAAAGCTGGGCAGCACGTCTATGGGGATTGAGTGTTTCGGAGCCAGCCTCAAGTGGCCATTGGAGGAACTGCAGTTTTTGGCACTTGGACATCGGCTTCATTTCTCAGCCTCGGAGGCTGCTGCTTGGCCTGTCTGTAATAACAGCAGCTTAAAAAGTTTACAGACAGCAGCAGAGAATACAGCTGCAAACTTGAAGTAAATTCATGAGATGAGAGCTTTGGTGAATATTATCTTTGTGGAAGAAGTTGCGATTGCGTAAGTTTAACTTTGCTAAATTCATAAGGGTTTCATATTCTATTGCTATTTCTGTCCAGCAGATCAATCCCTGGCTCCTCCAGTGTGCTTGACGAGGTGTCCTTGGGCAACACACTGAACTCCAAATTGCTCCCGAAGGCCGTGCTATCGGTGTGTGGGTGTGTGTAATTGATTAGATTAGATCCTGATGAGCAGATTGGCACCCTGCAAGGCAGCCTGTGTATGAATGTGTCTATGAGTGGGTAAATGTGGCACATAGTGTAAAGCACTTTGAGTAGTCGGTAGACGAGAAAGGAGCAATATAAATGCAAGTCTATCCATTTACCATTTGAGCACCCTATTGAGCCTTGGCAGCATGCCTAAGGTTTTCAAATTTAAGGAATACCATTAACTGGTCCTATAGAACAGATTTAAGTGCCATAGTGGATAGCAATTTGTCAATCAGAACACATTTAATTTTTTTTAGACAGTCCATTGAAGGAAATGCTGAATGAGACTGTAGATGCTGGTGCAGCTCCTGTAACTCCTATAGAGAAAATCCCCAAAGGGTGGATGGGAGGTTAATTGTTCCCTCACCGAGTCTTTGAGAGCCATGAAGCAGTGGCACATCCACCGTCTGGTAGTACCGTCTCGGCAGATGTAGGAGAAGGCCTTGTCATAGTTACGATCAGGAGCACAGAATGAAACCTTCTCTATGGTCTGGTCCACAATGAGGTCCTGAGAGAGAAACACAGACAGAGAGGTCAGAGACAATCAGATTTGACAGCGCACACAATACAGTTAAGCCAATCATAGTGTTCCAGCAGGTAGACTGCATCAAATCACATCTGATGTGGTTTTGTCTTCCAAGCAGTGGCTTAACCGATGACGGACAGGAAATATAGCACGCCAGCTTGTAGGCTGATCCAATACTTGACACAGTGCTTTCAACCTCAGCTAACCCCATGCAACCCCTCTCAGTCCAACCTATTTACACATCCACCGAGGACAGAAAGGAAAGCGACTACAGACTAATGACACTGAACCCCCTTTTCATCTCGGAGATGTTTCCACCACTTGCCCTTCCTTCAATAAAAGGGTTATTCAGCCCGTCTCAGTGTCTATAGTCACTACAGAGGAAACTAAAAGGGGCCCTTCTCTTTCTCTGTGTACATTAAGGGGCCCTCAGCTCACCTCTGTGACTCACCGAGGACAGAAAGAGAAGGAAAACAAGAGGCGAGAGGGACAAGAAAGGGAAGAGAGGGGAAGATGGTTCACACACTCATCCACTCACTTCCTCCCACTCCTCCAGTGTCGCCAAAAACAAAGAGAGGAGAGAGGAAGAGGGAGGATGAGGACGGGATAGAAGAATAAAGAGGCAGAAGAATAACGGTCCATTCATTGTGGGCCAATTAGTGAATGAAGGGGGATGCTGGTACTGAGGTGAAAGGCTGAGCAGAGAGCAATGTGCTTCGTGTGTGCTTCTTCATCACCGGTACAGTAAGATGCTCTGTGTTACTAGAAGCACATTATACTGTATGTGCTGGTGTGAGATTTAGACTTCCGTTTGCTCATGCGTGGTGTATTTTTGATGAAAAGCGCAAGAAGAAAGTGTGTGTTTGTTGGTAAAGGTGACTCAGGCCATGTCCCGACATTCACTGAAAGGAAGAAGAATACCAGCAGCAGCAGCAGCATGTGACTCAGAGTGTCTCATCTACGCAGCCTCTCTGCCTTGAGCACAAAAAAAAGACTTCACTGTTTTTTTCTATCGATGCATTAGCAAGGTCATGTGGAGATGTGTCTCGATCGCACGCTCACATACTGTATATATACAGTACATTCACTGTGGGAAAGCGTCTGAATAATGGCCATGTGGGCGTTAATAAGTGCACTTGCTGATTCATAGATGGAGGCTGAGCTGATGATAAAAGATGATGAGGAGGCGAGAAATAAAGACAGAAGGTGGAGGAGGCTGTTTAGGGCAACGTGATGTCACAGAAATACGTAAGATGACCACAACCTCTGAACACCGCATTACGCTGTGGTGACGCATACTTTGTTGTAAATAAATGGCGGCAGTACAGTTGGGTTTCGGCTCCAAAAGTACTTGGTTAATTTTTGTAGAAAATCATATTTTTTCAAATTTCTTTGCTTGTTACGTACGGGACCAAAGTACAATGTAAGTATGTTATGTAACGTGATGTCAGAATGTAAGGGATGATAAGTACATTAAGTTAAAAGAAGTCCACGTTGACTTTCAGCTTGACACAGGACACAAACAGTGGCCTCCCAGGTGAAAGTCCGGCTTTTGTTGACCCCCTTACCACCCTGGCCTCCTCCCTTATTGACTTTCTTCCTCTTTGCCTATGAGGTCGTAACATTAACCAACGCATTGCATGATATCGTTGAACCAGGGAATTCACGTGTCTGCCGAAACAAAGCTTCCTAATTGACTCTCCATTATCATTGTTTGGAATGTAATTTCTGCACAATACCTGCCACCACTGCGGTTACATATTTCTGTGACTCCAGGTCGGTTTGGGTTTTTTTGGCCAGTTGTGAGCAGTGCATCAAGCTATGAACACAACATTGACATATCACCACCTTGTAAAGATGTTATGGATAATGTTTTAGCAAACAGTGGCTGATTTACACATCCAGCTGAGACACAGCAACATTAGCATTGCTTTGGAGTCATCTCCTTTAGCTCGTTTTTAATCTCCACCAACTCCTGAGAGAAATATCTGGCTCTCTAGCTGCTAAATGCTTCGCTATGTTCACCAGCATGTCGCTAACAGTGTCTGTCTGTGGTTTGGTGCTGGGCTTGTAGTGTTCAGTGGGTTCATCAGAGGTGTGTTGCTGAAAATAACTGGGCGCATCTCGACGCTATGCTGATGGGAGCGGTGGAAGTGAAGCGACACAGTGAAGTTGCTGCAACAAATTAAAAGACATTCGACTGCTCTGTAAAGCTGAGAGGAACTGCAGTGGTCCATGGGTTTGTCTGGACTGACACCTTTAACATTACAAATCGTCATTTCATACACTGTTTGCATAAAAATACTGATCATAGCACTGTTAACCATGATGTGCTGAATAGGAAATGCTGAATATAAAGGAGAAACATTGATTAGATTTTTTTTGAACGTGACGTTTAACTTGCTTGAAGTGGAAAATATGCCAGTAAATTAACTGTGCTTCTGTGGTTTTCATTAAAAGGTTCACAGAGTGGGTAAACGCTGAGCGCATGTGTCCAAATACAGGTCCAATTCATGTGAATGAAATACTTCCATACTTGCACCGGAATTATTTAGACAAAATGGTAAAGGAGGATAAAAAGAGGGGAAGTCACAACCATCTAGTGCAAACTAAGAAAACTGTTTACTCATGTCTTTGTTTTTTTATGTTAAAGGTGTTATAGATATTGACTCACTGTCAACTAATTCTGTCAAGTGTTGTTAATGTGCTAACTCCCTAACTAGCGCCAAGATGGTCTGATGGAGGATTATACATGGCCACCGTCTGTCGGTGTTAAGACTTATTTCTTCTCACACAGGCACAGAAAATATGTGCTGGTTGACCGTTGACTCTGCAGTGTGGTCCTGTGCAACTTTTTTGGCTGAGACACAGAGGCGTCGGGCAATGCAGCAAGGGGCCTTCGTCGCCGCTAGTTCTCTGAAGTTGGTTTAGTGTGTCTAGGCCATTGTAAGCACCAAGCCAGAGGTCATATTCATTGTAATAAAGGAACTATCATCCAATATTTTAACTCATTGTTGGTTTTGGGATTTTTAGACAGGAAGAAATTTCTAAGATATTGCCAGCCTTATCCTTTAATATGTTTAGATGAGATACATCACTGAAAGAAAGTAAAGAGGGGTATTAAAGTGGGGGAAGAGTTGGAGAGGTGAGGTCATGTGTGTGGCCTCTCAACATAAAAAAAGGAAAGCGAGAGAAAGAAGAGGCTGCTCCGTTGGGCTCTCCTCTCTCCTCTATTCTCTGCTGCTCTTTATTCTGCTCGGCTTTCAATAGAGCCACAGCGAGCTGCACTCACTCTGTAGGAGGCCTCCCTGGCCGCCAGACACTCCTCAAGTGCATGTGTGTGTGTCTGTGTTTACTTGATCTTCCCTCCCCCACTAAGCACCTTCAGCAAGAGACCATGAGTCACATATGTCAGCTCTGAAACTGAATACACACACACACACATACACATACAGGGGCCAAAACTAGCCTTGGAGCATCCAGACAGTAGGTGCATAGTGCATCCTTCTGTTGTCAGCCATAAGGTGGTGTCATCAAACTGGGACAGAATGCGACTTTTGTTGGTGGTCTGAAGATGGAAAACATCTATTTTTTTTCTTGCTATTTTATTGTTGTCAGAAACTGAGAATGAAGATGTATAAGGAATACCTGTGTGGTGTGTATTGTACGTGATTGCAGGACAAACACTTCCCCTCTTCCCCTCTTTGTCCTTGTTTCCAAGTGAGTGATGAGGTAGATACAAAGAGGAAACAGAGGGGATGATGATGGAACACAGAGATGGACTCAACACACACATAAAAATGTGTTTGCTTACCTTAGTTTTGTCATCCACCACCCTGAGTCCATCAGCTGAAACCCACAATACTGCCTTGACTGTCTTTTTCCCACTCTGGAAAGACAGAAAAAATAGCATTAAGTAATTTATTACTTCAGATGCTGGTGACCAAGTTATGTAGAAAAGGTATTTCAGTGGTTTCATCAGATGTTCCTTCATTCTCATAAAGGTGCGATCAACAAGCTACGAGTATGTAAAAGCGACTTTTACTACTACTCATGGTAATGTGAAGTGATCATTACATCCTTACAGCAGATGACGTAGTGGTAGGTTAAGAGCGGTGAGGTGGGCAGAGGTAAAAACTGTGCCAGCTGGCACTAAGACTCATTTCTCCAGAGGAGGGCACCAGGCAGAGCTAATAACACACTCAGCATGCGCCCGGCTAAAAATACATGGACTAAAAAAGCAACATCTCCATGTGAGCGTGGAAGCGTGTGTGTACGTGCATGTCTTCATGCGCACATGAGTCTGCATATGAGTTTGTGTGTAAGTAAGGGAAACAGAAAGCAGGAGCACTGCAGGAAATGACTTTGAAACCCACAGTGAAGCGACAAGGAGCCTCAATTTTTGCATAATCCCATTGAGAGGAAGACAGCAGGAGTGAGAACAGAGGTGAAGAAACTGAGAGTGATGGAGGGAAAAGAGCAGGGAAGGGGAGGAAAGCTAAATTGGGAGGTGGAGCGGGGGGAACAAAAGATAGGGATAGCTGGTAGAAAGTTTTCAGTGTGAGCAACTGCGGAGAGGTGATAACACCGCTAAGGAAAGATGCTGATGTAGATGGAAGATGGAAAAGAGTCGATCCGGTGGGGAGAATCAGAGGAGAGAAACAATGAAAGGAAACGGTGGTGAGAGGAGAAGGAGACTAGAGTGAATGTATGAAACTGGCCGTGATTCAGTTAACTCTCTGAGATTTTCTGACAAAGTGGTGCCTTTTGTTAAATAAAGTTACATTCCTACTTGGGGGAATCAGGTTTAAGATGAGTGCATGCTGACTATAGAAAATGTGCTGCTCTGCAGTTTTGTTGGGCAACCTGATTTTTATATGACAGTGAAGTTTAAAGGAGCATTATATTGGATTCATAAGATTTTGTAGCATCTAGTGGTGAGCATTGCAGACTCCGACTGGCTGAAACATCTCCTATGTGCCAAGTGTGAACTTCAGGAGGTTTTTACTGGGAGCTGAATTATCCACAGATGTCTCTTCCTCTCCAAAACAAATGAACCAATGGATTTAAATTGGTAAAAAGACTGAATAAAGTAGTTTTACATTGAAATTCAGTGTTTTTCCAATGCTGTTCTGCTCGTCACTGCTCTTCACCTACTACTGTGTGTTCACCTTTTTTTTGCCATAAGTCAAATTATCCACAGAGGTCTCTTCCTCTCCAAAACAAATAGCCAGGTGATTTAAACCAGTAAAAACACTAATAAAGCAGTTTCATTTTTAAAAAACTTTTTCTCCAACATTATTTGGCATGTCGGAGACAGGCTGCTGGCCTTGGACTTGCTTAAGTGTGTTTTCCTTTCATCGCACATAGCTGAAGATTCAGACGTTCAGGAGGTTTTTACCGAAAGCTGAATTAACCACAGAGGTCTCCTCCTCTTCAAAACAAATGGACCAGGTGATTTAACCCGGTTAAAACACTGAACAAAGCACTTAACATTAAAATCAGTGTTTTTCTGATGCTGGTTGGCTCGTCACAAAGGGGCTTCTAACTATGATGGCCAATGTGAAAACACAAATGACCCTATCTAGATTTGAGACTACTGTAGAAACATGGCAGTGCAACATGCCAGTCTCTGTAGACAAGGACCCACTTCCTCCTATAGATATCAACAGCACATTCTAAGGTAACAAAACCCTGACAAATCTTATTTTCAGGTGATGAGACACTAATGAAAAACATATTATATTATATTCCATTTCTGCCAATATATCCCCCTAAATCCAACACACTAGTCCTTTAATGCTGTTTCATCAAAAGAGCCCTGAGCAGAAAGCGACACAAACTCCGGTTTTCTTCACTGCTGAGTGTGTGTGGCTGTCTGACACTGGCCGGTCTGTGTCACTCTGTTCACACGCTCCCTGTCCGAATCCAGCTTCCCAGGGGGGCAGACTATGTGTGTGAGTATGTGTGTGTATCAGTGAGCATGTATATGTGTTTATGTTCTGCTCTCATGCACGTAGTGGGATTAGACAGACAGACAGACAGACGGACAGATATGGAAGAAGACCCACCAGGGAGGGCGAGGCGGGAGATGAAAGAGGTAAAGAAGAGAAAATAACAAGAAGGTAACTGCAGAAAGTATTGAACGTGTGTGTGTGTGTTTGTGTGTGTGTGAGTGGGTGTGGGTGTGGGTGTTATTGCACGAGCTTGGCACAACTGGGTCTATAATGTGCTCCAGTGAAGTTTGCAGATCCTTGGGGTGAGTATTTGTAACTGCCTCGGCACAATAAAATGAACCTCCAGTGCTGCAGCAGGGGAGGTGTGCGTGCATGTGTGTGAGTGTGAGAGAGAGTGTGTGTGGTATACTTACAACTTTAAGCTTCTTCACTGCCTCCTCGCATACATGCATCCCTCTCGACTCCTCCACCTCGACCAACCCCAGGTACTGCGGAGAAAAGAGAGCAGTGATATTACACAACAGACCCTGATTGTTATGAAGTTTTTGATTTCACAGTTTTCATGTTTTGGCTTTACTCTTCATCTCACTGTCACGCCAATAAAGCAGACTGAGCTGAAATGAAAACTATGTCAAGACAAACAAACAAAAAAAAAAAGAGACAAAGTGACATAAAAGCTACCAAAGCCTCATTAGTCCCGATCAGTATTTCTGAGTGCTACCAAATTGACAGAGAGAGTAGCTAATAGGCTCCCATACTGGATTTACGGCCGCAAGTTGCTGCTGATAATAAAGACAGGAGAGAGAGGGGAGGTCTGAAATAATTTATAGCCTCACATCCCCTTTTGTTGTCTCTCCAGTGCTCTGCTCTGTGGTGTACGGAGAGCCTACAGGGACACAATTAAAGCTCCCCGCTGTTCTGCCCTAGTCAGAAGCCAAGCGGTGAGGCAACAGGAAGTTTTAAGGAGAGCTCTGAGTTTTGTAGAGATTGGTCCCCAAACTGAAATACCTGTTGTAAACAATATGTGTGGCAGATTTATGAATGAGAGCGGAATTGCTTTACGCTCACAGAACACGAATAAACAGTTTTCAGAGCGATGTCATTTTTAGATACACACACATGCGGGGGGTAGAAAACAAACAGGGATTAATGAGTGAGAGCTTGTGAGGAGAGGAACATGAGAAGTCTTTTTTTGTTTTTAGAAAACTGCAAAAGTAATGGGTGGAAAATGTTCAAAGTGCATCATTATTAATTAGCATCTAGTCATCTGGTTAAAGCCCTGGATTCTGATGAGGTGGAGAACGGCTTTGTGAAGAAACTGGGGAGGAAAAAATGTCTATTTTAAAGTATAAGATGGCTCACACTGTTAATGTGTGTTTCTGACTGTTTAATGAATATTTTACTGGCAAGAACCACACCATCATTAAATTGCATTTTTACAGTTTTATTCAAGAGAAATGTGACTAATGTGCGAGGCTTGGATTGCTTGTAGTGTACAACAGCGGATCTGCCGTAGCACCCGGGTACCACGAATCCCCTCAGGACTCTACACAGAGGAGATGAAGAGAGGAAAAGAGAGGATGGGATTGGACAGTGGGACAAAGAATACAAGAGCGAATCAGGAGGAGTGGGTTAGTGGGTATATATGCAGGAGGGTAAAAGGTTGAGGTCTCGCCCTGCTCCTGAAATTCTGCTAGATAGCTCCGGTCCAAATATTTGGTGATCAGTTTGGCAACATGGTGACAGTCTGATGGTTTTGGATGAAAAACACATTGTAACAACTAGAGATGCTCCAGTATTGTATTTTCCTTCCCAGTACTGATTCTGATACCTGAACTTGCGTATCGGCCGATAACAAGTACCCATCAGACACCACATAAATAAATAACAGCTATACTACTAACCTGTACGGATGTGAACGGATTGTTACATTGCTGTGTGGCCTGGCTCAGGTTAAATCCTTTGTAAAACATGAACAACTACATACAGAGAATGACAGCACAGAAATAACCAGACTCCTGACATTTTGCTAACAGCTAACGTTGCATTATTTACCAGAAATCAATTCCTTGCTGCTCTCAAACAGTAGTTGCCAGTGGCTGCACAGCACAACCTGCTGTGTAGGCTATGAGGGTGGAGAAGAACTATCTATGAATCTATGGGAAAACTGCAGTTTTATCTGGGTGTAAAACTACTTTATCAATTAAGTATGTTGTATTGGATCCTTGTATAACGTATACCCCATCCAGCATTTTAGGCAGTATCACAGGCATTTCCAAAACTGGTATCAGTATTGGAACAACTCAAGTTACAACTCCTAATTTTTCAAAGAAACATGGCTGTATACACTGCTGTCATCTATGATGAGTTTTTAAACAGCGCCTGATCACATGGATCTCTCTGTGAACTGGCGTCCTGCTAGCTATTGTACAAGCGTTGGATAATAAACTGAACAATCTCCATGCCTGCATCAGTTTACAACAGAACATCAGAAATTGTAATATCCTTTGTTTCATCCAAAAATCCTGGACAGCACCATTCAACCAAGAGGCTCTTTTTCTGTATATCAGTCTGACAGAGCTGCTCTGTCGAAGGAAGCAGATGAAGTCTGTGCTTTATGGTGAATAAGGACTGGTGTGACAGTGGGAATGTGAGGTGCTGTCCTGTTCCTGCTCATCTGTAACAGGAAACCGATGGAATTGGGAGCCGGAGATGTTTTTATTCCCACAGCTGGGGAAATCACAAGTTCGCACCATTTTGGTATTCCTCTGTTTACCTACAGCAGCTGACGAGGGTGTGTCGTGAGCCTGAGCCGGTGTTCGCACTGTAGTAGGTATATATAGGGCTAGTACATCTTCTTCCTCACTAATAATAGCCTTCTGGTTCTCTGTTGGAAACAGCCGATGAAGTTTTCGTTAGCCGTTGCTATCCTGCGCACCTGCACGGCGCGATGATGAACTGTCTAATTGATTTCTATTAGCGTGCTGTCTTGCGGGCCTGCACGGCGGAGTGATACTGGCCAGAAAATAGTCCCAATTGATAGCAAGGTCTGACGTAATGCGAGGATGTTTTAAAATTATTGAAATAGTCTAACAAAACACATGCATACTTTTTTGTAGCTTAAAACCTTATGGTTACGTGTCCCCCTTATATCTTAAGAACAACTTTTTCTCCGGTAAGCTACGGGCCATTTTAGGTCAATTGGTGACTCTAAATTGTCCGTAGGTGTGAATGTGAGTGTGAATGGTTGTCTGTCTCTATGTGTCAGCCCTGTGATAGTCTGGAGACCTGTCCAGGTTTCCCCTGCCTCTCGCCCAATGTCAGCTGGGATAGGCTCCAGCCCCCAGTGACCTCTGTTTCTCACTTGAATTTCAGGTGTCAGGTTAGCAAGCTAGAGCTGACAGGTGTCTATCAACGTGCTGTATGTGGTGAAAAAAGTTTTGGACACATGAGGATAAATGCCACATACAAGTTCAACTTCCATATCCAGAGGAAGTGAAGGTGGTGTGTGCGGAGCTGGTACAGAGAAAAAAAAAAGTATCATTCATCAAAAATCGAGGCAGGCCATTTTTCAGAACTTTCCAAACTCAGATTTTAGTTAACTTTTTTGTCCGCATTGAGCTCAAGAACGCAGTTTTCTTTCCTCTGGTACAGTTGAACCGCTCTGCTACAGCCATTAATAGTGCATGAGTCGTGAATACATTTGGAGTGAAAATGGAGAGAAAGAGATGTGAGAAAGAAAGATGAACAGAGGGACGAGAAGGAAAGAAAAGCTGCAATAAAGAGACTGAGAGGTTTTTTAGTGCTACCATCTCTCGCTGCAAAGCTCCAAGCTCCACTTCGCTGCCCATCTCATTGCGAACTCTGTGGAGCATTACCATCAGGACCATTTTCCATTAGCTTGCCTCTCACGCTGCCTTTTCTTACACTCATCTCTGCCTTTGTTATCTTTCTCTCTCTACCTTGTATTTTTCTTTTGCTTTCTGGTTTCTTCATTCAGTCTGCAGCCTTTCTACCATCTCACCCCTCTTATCCAGTTCCATATCTCTGCGGCGCTCTCATTTCATATCTCACAATGTGTCTCCGTCCCCTCCGTGTGCCCTCATCCCTCACCCTGTCATCTCCTGTGGTCTCCTTAATCTACAACCCCACCTCGATGTCATTCCTCCCTCTCTGTCCTCCATCTCTTACTGTCATTGTCTCTCCAGCCCTTCAACAAATCACTTTGGTTCTCAGCAATAGGCAGACAGCACACACTCAGACTGGAGCTGGTTATCAGTAAATTGGGCCATCAGTAATTCCTCTTATATATTTATTTATTTGCTGATTGCAAATGAGGCACAGAGCTGAGAGCTAAGAGTCTGTACTTTGCTCAAGGGCAATTTAATTACCACATGGTTTCTATTTGGATGAAATGGTCTTCAGTCTTATTGAGATCAAAATGGGAATTTATTTGACATGTAATTTGATCACGTTGCCAATAACACAGGCAGCCAATACAAGAAGATCAATGGTATTCTGTTGCTTGTTGACCACAGGTTTACATGCACTTTGGTCATATTATGCTTACACGCAGAATGCACCAAGCTCTGCCATGTTTGTATGACTCATGTCAGTTTTGGGTGCATTGCCTTCCAGTGAGTTCATTGCAAACAAACTTTAAAATGCAAACATCAAAATGAAATCAGTTGTCTTGTATTTTTAAAGGAACAGTTCAACATTTTGTAAAATACTCTTAATTGTTTTCTTGGCGAGAGTTAGATGAAAAGATTGATACCAGTGTCATATCTGTACACTGAAAGCTACAGCCAGCAACCCATTAGCTTAGCTTAGCATAAAGAGCCAGGCTAGCTGCTTCCCCCTGTTTCCAGTCTTTATGCTAAGCTAAGATAAGTGCCTCCTGGATCCAACAAGCAAATATTCAAAAATGCCAAACTAATTTTAAAGGTACAGCGTGTAGGATTTAGGCGAATATATTGTCAGACATGGTATTTAATATCCATAACTATGTTTTCATTAGTGTATAATCACCTGAAAATGTGTTGGTTTCTTTTTTTACCTTGCCGCGGAAATACATGGGACACAGACGCAACACAACTTGTCGCAGTTCAAAAGTGGGTTGTGGGTCCCTTCTGAATGGACCGCAAGTGACTCGCATGTCTCACATTTGCAAAAAAAACAAACACATTTTTGTTTAAGTACAGTGAATTTCTGGCACAGAGCTTTTATTTTAAAGTCCCGTTTCCTGCTGTAGAGTGAGTTACTAACAGAAAGTTCCTTGACAGAGACAGCAAACTAGCTTGACGATATGGCCAAACGCAAGTATGACGCCGAATGTATCAAACTGTGTGGACCTTGAACTAATGACTAAGAAGAAATCTGGACCCCACGGCTGGACCAGTTGGGAACCACTGTGCTACAGCATGCCCGCAACAACGTACGTCATTTATAATCAGCTAAAGCTGCTACACTGACCACAGACGCCACGCTTGCCCACGCAGGCATTGCACAGCTCCTCTATTTTGTACGACTAGTCTATTCTTTTTTTCTCAGCGCACGGCTCTGCAGTCCTCCAACAGATAACAAATACACAGTATTATGTAAAAAACAAAAAACAAGCAAAATTTGTTTAAAAATGATTCACATAAATACCAGCGACAATGTGCAGCAGCAGGTGAACCTTGTGGGTGTTTTTACCTTTTACATTTAAATAAATCAATCAATCAAATCAGTGCATCCTGTCGTTAAAACAATCCAGTTAATTGATTCAGTACCGGTTAATAGAGCCAAACCCTGCATACACAACTGTATTATCTTTTGGCAAAAGTAAATACACTCCACAGTAAAGCTAGTTTATATCTACATACGGTGCGCGTCCTCTTCCATGGAGTTTACCATGTCGTTTTATAGATGTGAACAAACCAAACACTGGCTCTAGATAGGGACATTCACATTTTTGCATCGGCCACCTGAGTTCTCCGACACACCTGGCACTCGGGAGAAGTTTCAGTTGGTTGTAATCTGCAGCCTCACCACTAGATGTTGCTAAATCCTTCTCACTAGGCCTTTAAGAAAAGCAAAATAAAGCCAAGTCTAAACCCAAATCTCAGAAAATACCTTTTTTTTTTTTTAATTAAATAGGTTTTAAATATTAAACCATACATACACCTACATGTATGAGGTAAATGGACCATCTAAGGCAGCTTGGTCCAGAAGCAGAATCTGAGTTTGTTCTTCCTCTGTGATGTTCAAGGATACAGTTCTGCATAAATGAGGATCCAGCGAACCTGTAATTGTTCTTAAACAGGACGCACTGGCATGAGCTGTGATAAATGAACTGCGGTCTCGGCCTCAACCCAGAAAACTCTACCTTGCCCTTTTGCGTGGCCCTTTGAGTTATTCAGCCGAGGTTCATGTCACTATATACGCAGAGTGAAGTTACTCCTCGCCTAAAATGGGAGATTACATTCATGACCTTGTGACATTTTGACCGTTATGTTCAGTCATATATGTATGTATATATATATCCCTTGTTTATACTGACAAAACTTAATGATAATTATGGTGTTTACTGTGGTTATTTCAGACGTATGTTGTGAAATATTCCCTCTGGGAAAGAAACACATTGAAATATGACTGTTATATTACTCTGGCTAAGAATGGACTGGCACTGTAGCAGCTTTGGATATTCACCCGAACAGGGAAGTTGCATTTGCCCTTTCGTACAGCCTCCTCGTCTGCCTGCCACTGATGCGGTCTGCTGGCCTCTGGCACGTAGGTGGGCTTCTTCCTCCTCAGGCTCTGACGAAGCTTGTTCATCTCCGGGGTCACGTGCTCCCTGGTACTGTGGACAAAGAAAAGAGACGGTGGTTTAGTTGCATTGCTCAGCCTGCACAGCTGCATGTTAGCTCAGAAGATTTAAAAACACTGAAAAAATGGCAATCATCACAAGTAAGTGAATCTCTTTAACACACATTAAAACAAACAGCATTCAGTCACTGTCAATTTAACAGTAAGGATCATTAAACGCTAATTAAATGCAACAAACTACAATTTAAAGAAATGCCACTTGAGAGCTTTGAACAGAAACTGTAGCCCTGTGTTTCACGCAGGATTATGAGTGAAGAGGGATGGATTTCATTGATTAGCTCAAGCTCATTATGCAGTAATCATCCCTAACAAGGCAGTCAGTGCATTAGCGTCATAAACGCCACGATGCCCCATTGATTCTCCATTCAGAGACAGGCTGTACAAATCACACAGGTAGAACGTTAACGCTAATGAACACAAAGCATAGGGTGTGCTTTCATCTCCCCAAGAAACATCAAGAACGCAGAGAGAATGCTGATCACCACACACACACACATGTGCACACACTCCAATCCTTCTCTGAGCACACACAATCCTCTCTGCGCTGCTTAATTAGACCATTCAGCCCGCTGGCCTGTTTAGCGATGCTAATTTCCCAGCACAATGAAACATGACGCCATCAAAACATAACCTGTTTAAAAATGATAATTACTGTTTTCATTCCTCCACAGTCACATCCCCCCTCAACAGAAGACCTGCAGTACAATAAAAACATCTCTCCTCGCGTGCGTCCTGCGTCTTCATCAAGACTGAGTTAACTGAATCATCAGCTCCTCTGTTATCACAAGTGTTACATCTGACTTTACTCCATCCAGACCTTTCACGCCTCTTTACAGGTTCCTTACTTTGAAGGCATTTTCTTCGTCTGATAAGAGACACACCAGCAAGCCTTACTTGCTTTTGCAGAATTCTTGCAAACACAGCACAGTCCAGAGCAAAGAAATGTCTCTCTTAGTCCCTCTCTGCTTCCATTCCTCCATATCTCTTTGGTTTATCTGAGCAAAGAATATACATGTATCATTTTCTTACCATGTGCTTGCCCCAAAGGTCGGTATCCTGGCCACAGGGCGTGAAAGCACACAAATATTACACTGAAGAAACATTAAATCCATATGGTAGCAGTGAAGCTGCTACTGAAGGGAAGAAATCTTCTCTCTGCTCTGCCTCACACAGCAAATACATATATATACACACAGACAGATACATCACTTCCCATAATCACTGCTGTGTTACTGGTAATAAGGCAGGCGTGCAGGAAGGGTGTATAATTACATGTTCCCGTGAATCTCACACACACACTGTGGCGTGTGTGTAACGAAGAGTATTCCAATGAAACAACCCGAGTGGCTTTACTCATCTCTGGCATGTGAGGCACGCATCCTCTGCCAAGCGCACTCATACACACACACATACACACACACAACACACACAGGCCCCTCTGCAGCTTGCTGCGCACACATGTCAAGGCTTGCGCCAGTCATTTCTGGGCGAAGCGCCATCTGACTGGCACCTGGATGGCAGCAGGTGTGAACTAGCTGGTGCATAATGCCCCACAAGGGAGGCGGAGTGGGGGGCGGTTACAGTAGAAGGGACAGGGTGGGGGAAAGGAGGCGCTAGTTGGGGAATACAGGATGCCCTGTAACTGCCCTCATATGGTTGGGGACAGCAGTAGAGGAGGAGGAGGAGGAGGAATGAGCGAATAATCATCTGATGCCAAGCCACAGGGGGAAAGGCAGGAAAACGAAATGATGTAAACTGAGGGTACTGGGACAAGTGAAAACTGACTGGAAGAAGTGTAAAGATGAAGAAACGAGGTGAGAATATCATTGCTGTCACATGAAATTATCATGCTAATCATCCAACAAAGCAGCTACCAGAGAATAAAAATCCACCTCATGCTGACGACACACTGTGCCAGCAAAAACAGAACCTTCCTATTATTTGTATACAGAATGATCCATTAACATCAATTTTCAGATCATTTATCTTTTAATTGAGAAAATCTAATAAACTAAATCATATTTATCCACTTAAGAGCGCAGACTTTCGTATTTTAAAGACAGAGTAGCGATGTCATGACACTAAAATGCCTTGAAAAATAACAATACTCAATACCATTTTCTATATCATGGGAAAATTGACAGCTATAACACAAAAAATATGGAGTAATGTTCTTGCCTTTATGAAAAGCATTCACCTGTTTATGCCGATGTTTCTCCATAATTACTACCATAAACAGACCTTAATTATTATGCTAATGAGGTAATTAATTTTGTACTGTAAAATTTTGTATTAATATTATTATTAATTATAGTTTCAATGTGTTGGAGCAAGTCGATACACAAAGAAAAGAGGTGGAGGAGTGAAACAGGGAAGAAGGGGAAAAAAACAAGGTGAGGAAATTGATATTGTGACACACCCAATTATCCTGTCTCACAGCCATCAGTCATCCTGCTTTAATTAAATGGAGATATAGTGGGGTTAAGTGGTTTGACACGAAGATTAATAAGCCAGCTGACTAGAAGGAGGGAAACCAGACGAGGACAGACAGAGACAGACCAACAACAACACTGTCATACATTTATGCTCTACCTTTAAAGGTAGTGCAGACTTTGACAGGGAATCTGGCTTTAGTAATGTATAAAAAAAAAAAAAATATTAACTCTGTGTCTTAAAACAAACTTTGGGAAATACGCTTATTTGAGGGAGTTGGATTAGATTTCCCCCCAAATTGTAAATTGTTGCTGTTATGGCCGCAGCTGACTTAACCCTTTCTGTACCATGTTTAGGATGTGGTCCCCTGCACCTGATAGGCTGAGCTGCTGGCCTTCCCCAGGACGACAAGTCTGGCCTCTGTCATCCAAACGGGGGAACTCAGCACCCAGAATCTACAAATGCCTGCCCAGCTTGGTAGCCAGACAACTGGAACTCTTCACATGACCAATGCGCTGATGGCAATAAACAAAGAAACAGTCCCGAGCGATTGTAAGGAGGCAGATTGGGGTGGTGGATGAGCCAAAAAGAAACAGACCTCTGCCTGTGACATTCCCCTGGAGTCTCATGTTCAGATCTGTGTGAAATTCAAGTGAACTGTGAGTCATTTTAAGGCATGTTTCTCTTCCTAAACCTAACCTCCGTAGCTTACTGTTAATTGCGTGATCGGCAAGATGCAGTGATGCAAGATCACAAAATACTGTCTTCCCTCTGCCCAACCAGCACTCGAACATTGATTCAAAGTAGTCTAGTTTGAAAGAGAGACTGATTAACTAAGATACATAAAAAGTTTTCACAGGCCTCCATGCTGCTTTCTTCTGTTTACCATAATTACGTGACTGTTCAGTATATTATACCAACAATTCATTTAGAATACGTTGAAAATTATTAATGTATTTTGGAAAGATTTCTTTTAAAACTGAGATATAACATGTTAATTAGTGAACTCCAGAGGTGCTGGACGGAGCCAGGCTAGTTGTTTCCCCCTGTTTTCAGGCTTTACGCTAAGCTAAGCTAAGCTAAGCTAAGCTAAGCTAACCTAACCTGCTGCCGGCTGTAGCTTTACATTTACTAGACAGATATGAGAGTGGTATCAAACTTGTCAACTCTGCCAGAAAAAAACACAGGCGTATTCCCCAGAATGTCAAGAAGAAAGAAGAAAGAAATGGGTTCCAAAATATATTCAGATGACACTGTGGAAAGTGTTTCTTTCATTTGTACGGGCGGTATGAAGTCCATGATGTATGTACCATGGCTGGAGGACAGAGAACATGACATAAGCCAGACTGCAGTGAAAACACAAGTGGAAACAAGTTGATAGTCCGCCTCTTGCTGAGCGGCGCAGTGTGAAATGAACTGGAATCTGGTAGTAAACCCTCTTTGATGGAGAGACACATTAGGGTGGAGACATTACCCAGCATGCAACACATGAAGGCCTCGCATAGCTGTGACCTCACCCCGCACAACAAGAACCATCTGCACGAGTGAAACAGAGACAAGAGACAGACAGAGGGGGCGAGCAGGCAGGCAGGGAGGCGAGGATGGAAAACATCACAATAAATCTATAAATCACCGGCACAAATGAAGTCCCCGCTCTCGTCATAAACCCACGCAAAACTTATGAGCACTCCAGCGCAGACTACACAAAACAAGAGGCCTGCTGCCAAAAAACACATAGTTGTTTCGCATCCAGTGTTTGAGTTAGCAGACATCTGGAATGTATTGTTGCAGCGGAGGTGGCAGGAGAGACGACTTACGATCATACGATGTTAGGTCGTAGACTTTTAAGTCTGTTCACCTGGGTTGACCCCCCCTTCATCGCAGCTTCCTTTCCAGACCCTCCCTATTCTTCTTCTTCGCTGGTGTTTATGCTCCAGGTCTCCCCTTTGCTCTGCTCGTGCCCCAAAGACGTCAACAACGGATGCAAAAATGGATCCCGAAGTTGAATGTCTGCAGCTCTGGTGATGTGAATGTGAGGAAATGGGTTTCACAGTGATGAATTTAGAGAGAAAGATTCGCCTACACGTACAGACTAATAAAATGCAGAGGAAAGTATTTCAACATATTTGCTCCGGCTTGTTAAGTTGGTATTTTAACTGTTAGTAATTTGGGACAATCGTCACTAACAGTGTGTGTCGGTGATCCAGTTTCTTAGCTTGTGTTTGAAGTGTTAGAAAGTTAATGTGCATGTCAGTCTGCATTCATATGTGTGTGTGTCACCTCTGTGTTCCCCGCACATAATCTATGTTAAGACTGCATGAACTCATGTGTGTCCAGCTGTGTTTTGTGCTTGCCAGATGTGAGTCTGATTGATATCTTTGGCACTCTCCCTCTCTTTCACACACACACACACACACACACACACTCCTGTACACACACATTTTTACACACACACACACGCATCGTTCCTCCCTGATCCAGATGTTCTGTGTTCAACAGCGGCTCAGAGATTTTGGCAAAACGGGACACACTCCTCCCTCA